CAAGCTCCAGGAGAAGAAAGAAACAGAAAAACATTCTTCCCTTTTCTTCAATCTGGTGCTGTAGTGGGCTAATGAATTTTTAGCAGCCCATGCTATGCTTAATTTTAACCCAGATCTGCAACTACAAGCAACACTGTTTTCCTTACAGAAGTGCTATGAGAATTAGTTATTGTTAATTCAGAAGTAAAAGTTATTCAGATGTCATTTCACTATTCATAGATTCATAGATATTAGGGTCAGAAGGGACCTCAGCAGGTCACTGAGTCTGACCCCCTGTCCTGGGCAGGAAAGAGCGCGGGGGTCAGACGACCCCAGCTAGGTGCTTGTCCAAAATTCAGTTCAGAATTACCTTCTATATCCGAACTGGGAGCCCAAGTCAGTCAGTTCCCCTGTTCCATGGATTTCTTGTTTCCTTACTCTTCTCACAGCTACCTCTGTTCACTCAGTGTTTGTCTCTGTCCCGTCGCACAGGTTATCATCAGTGTTGCTGTCTTAGGGTCCTCCCCACTACAGATATATGATCCTCATTCTGGTTTATGGACTCTCCACCTCATTGCACATATCAGCCATTATTTAACTTGCCAAAGCCCTTTGGGATGCAGCTTCTATGTAAGGTGCTATACCAACTGTGTGTGTATTATACAGCATAGTTTCCACAAGGATTTACAGTCACTGCATAGGCACTGGAGAGTTGACAGCCCTGTTGACTTAGTCAAAACACGCCGCCTACAAATCAGTACCCATAGAGAAAATCTATCCTTACACTTGAAAAAAAAATCAGTGAGAGAAAGAAAGAGGAAAAGAAAGAGATCATTCTCATAACTCTCCCTCTAGAAATGTCCAGCCTGGCAGAAACCAGTGATATCATTTAGTTACCAGCCAGGCAGAGATACCAAGTAGGCAAATGGTTTTTGAGTGACAGCCATGTCCTGTAGAGCAAGGGATGCCAAGTGAGCAGCCTGTTTATGAGTGATAGCTGTCTCCTGCAGAGCAAGCCATGTCAAGCGGGCAAGCAGTTTACAAGTGACAGCCATCTCCCACAGAATAAAGGATGCCAGTAGCAAGCTGTTTGAAATGCCACTTGAGTAGCTTCTTCTAGCATTTAGGCTCTTCCTCATTTTGTTCTGTATTCCCACTCTCATTTAGTCTCCCACTGGTCTTTTTAACCACCCCTCAGACACTGTATCTTCCTTGACAATTGCCTCAAGGCTGAAAATGAATCCTGGTGGCTTAAAGATGTTGTATAACATGGGCATTTGGGACTTATACTGCATTGCCTGCTAAACAAATCATGAGCCCATGGACACAAACATCTTTTCTATGCTAGGGGATTTTAAGGAAAAAATGTTTTGGACAGAGACATTTTTAACCCCCATAAAAAGTGCATTGAAAGTGCAATCTAGCTGTAGAAGCCTTCTCTACACTAGGGCTCCCACTCATCTTAATACAGGTTTAGCTGAACTGGTGAGATCGCACTTTCATATTTATTCTTAGAATTCCCTTGCATAAAACTGATATTTAACAGTGGCCTCTGATTTTGGCTTTCCAGCTCAAGATCCTTAGGGCTTGGTTTGAAACTTCAGCAGCAGTGAAAATTTTAAATCTGGCTGTAAATCAGATCCCAAAAATCCATATCTGCTGTAGAAAATTTTGTCTTTAGGTGTCATTCATTCTCAATCACCCCTCTTCACCATCCTCAAATTACTTAGGTTCTATTTAGTGAAAAAGTACCTAGTTGCCATGTTGACATACAACTTTCATCAGGTGCAACTTGAACGGTTAAATATGATCATCTAAAAAGCAGAGCCCTAACTGACCCAGAAAGCTAGATTCACCTGTTGTGGATTCAGAAATGATGATATTCTGGAAGTCTGACCAGCCAACAGATTATAAACTAGTTGGTGCAGTTTTATGCTTTGCCTTGCTTAATATTGCAAAGGTCTTCTGCAACCTTAAAACCAACCAATAAACAGAACAGAACAGTCCCTTTCATACTTGATGTATCCCAAAGTGCTTTAGAATAATTACATAGTGGTAGGTGCACTGACTGTGTAGGCGAACTCAGCAGCAATTATACTCACAGCAATAACTCAGCCAGGCACATTCAGACCTGTCCTGTTCAGAGACAGGACCAGTGGTTTTATATAAGATTCCTTGAAAGTTGCCCTGGAATCTTTAATTTTCTCTTGAAAATCAAAAAGAACACACTGGTCCCCTGGAAAAGGAAATGTCAGATTAAGGTCTCTCCAAAAGATAGCTCCTTTAATGGTGCAGCCATGTCTAGAACCCTATCACCAGTGTACATGAGCTGGATCCTTTTGACCCAGTGGGAACAGTATGGTAGTCTGCCTAGCAAGCAATAGCTAAACATTGGTATGGCTGTTGTCTGGACTGCAGAGAAACCCAATCTTCAAAATCCCCTCTTATGCTGGTATGAATTAGGATCAACTTTTTAATGGTAGCCCATGAAGGCATAACACTAATGGGAGAACTGAGCGGTCTGGCTACCAGCAGTCTGACAACCAGGAATCATTTGTCAGCAACAGCTCCGAGAGGAAGTGCCAATAAGCCAACCATACAGGGCAGTGTGTACCTGTTTCCTCCTGGGAATACATCATCAAGAGCAGCAGGGCAGAGCTCAAGGTTTGTTTAGAACAGACAGGTTTTGCCCCTTTCATGCTGTAGGAGGCTGGAGAGCGCTGCATTTGTCTGACCACGGGGATCCTGGTCTGCTTTGGGTATTGGCTACCTGAGGCTCTCGGAAGCCTTATGATCAGCTAATTAATACACCATGGAACCTGAATTGAAACCCACCCCTGCATGTGCCTTTTCCTCTAGCTGCCACCTTCTCCACATTCGGATTGTCACAACTTCTAGCCACCTACCAGTCCCTGCCTCTCTCCAGTTTTTTTTTCAGATGCCTAATTCCATAGTTTCTAGCCATCTAGCCTGGCCTATGATGTAAATCCAGTGCTGTTGCCCTAGCAGCACTGAGACTCTAAACAATTTTCTGAACAATGGTTCTGTAGAACACATTTTATGGTTCAAATGAAAAGGAAATGAGAGGGAAGAAAGCAAACATGTTATTGCAACACACATAGGCCTCTGGAAACCATGTGGCACCAAATTGGGAAGAGTTAGAAAACCAGCTTTCCAGCCATGAGTCCAACTTGGGCACACTTATAAAAGCCCATTATTTATTCACAAAGTAAACTTCTGCAGACCCCCCTAGGACCTGATGCAAGATGAACCAGTACCAATAAATAATGCATTCCCGCTAGAGGTACCCTCTGCTCTACCTTCCAGCTGAGCTATTTTTTCTTTTCATTTAGCTTCCACTTGAGAAACAGGCTTTTCCAAGACCTGGTAGCCCACTTCAGGGACCCTTTGAGTGACTATATGATATGTTAGCAAGGGCAGAAGGCACAGTCTTTGAAAAGCTAAAATTGGAGAGCCTCAGTGGCCTCTCCAACAAATAAAAGGATTACAGGTGGGGGAAGAGAAAGAAAGGAAATTGTTGGAAATATTTCTCTGCTGTATAAATAGCAGCAGGTGTCCTCAGACTGCCTTCTGTTTGGGGCAGCCCAAACTGTCTATGGCCCCTACCTATTAGTGGATCCAGGAATGAGATAAGAGGAGGGTAGCTTCTGCCCCCAACTTTGGCCATGCCAAACTTGTGCAGTCACTTCAGGCTCCTACTGGAGTGCCATGTAAGCAGTGAGCTCTGAGATCACCAAATGATTGGGGCAGGGTCTGGCCAGAGCCTTTGTTTTTGTGTGGCTCCAGAGCCCAGTAGGTGAATGCTGCTGCTGTTGCCCCTCCTATTCCTCTGTCTTCCCCTTGAATTCAGCAGCAGGGGAAAGGAAGAGACAAGCAGTGGTGGCAATGCTCACCCTCCGGCCTCCCAGCACACCCCATACCACGAGCTGACATGTGGCACAGCCAAAAACAGGGGGTGACTGCACCACTGCACCCTCTCTGGATCTGCCCCTGCCCTTGCTTATTTGCTTAGGACTCAGAGATAAGCAGCCACATACCTTGGTTAATTGGGTTACTGTTGGTTGGCAGGGGCTCTGCACAAGCCCCTCGGTGGGGATTTAACAGGAAGTCAGATGCAAAGGATGTTCCACAAATACATGATTACAGGGTATGTTTATGCTGCTTTGGTGATGTTCAGTGTGCCACCAAAAAGCACACCTTACCCACCTCTGCAGGCAGTGAAGCTACCCTGAAGGTGCCCCTTGCTGCTGCCATCAAGTATGCCGGAGACATAACACTTGAGAGCAGTCTACTGTCTCCTCTCTGAGTTTGGTGCATGTGCAGCAGGTGATGGTGGGCAGGCTGCCCTGTGGAAGCAGTAGAGACAGGCTCTAAATGTATTATTAGACTTAGGGGGTGCCTCTCCACCAGGTTCTGAAGCTACCACCTTTCACTTGGAAAAACACTCACAGGTGTACAGTCTGTGCTGCTCTCTGCCCCCATGGAACAGGCTCTGGTTGGCTACTGGTGTTAAGTCATACTAGTGCCCCAGTTAGGACCCAGCTACATATTTCACTTAATCACCTTCCAGCTCCTTTGCTTCCCTTCCTGAAAAAACCTCAAGCAGGCTCTGTCAACCCTGCTGATTCCCTCCCTCTCCTGCCTGAGTGCCTCTTGCTAGTTGCTTCCATGATGTTTCAGGCCCAACCCCAATAGCCTCCTTCCTGCTGTTAATGATCTCTACAAGCCCCCTATCCACCTATCCTCCTGACACCCTTGACACCCTCAGTTCCTGCATGACCTTTGTAGATACACACAACTGGCCACCCTACCTCCTTCCCTTTTGCTGATTGCTGAGCTTATGGTCAAACCAAAAGCCACCAGCAGGGGATCACTGTTTATGGGACCTGCAGAATGAAAACTTACCTGCCCTGACTCATTGCCAAAAGATCTCTCCAATCCCCAGACTAGCACTCCTTCAGACCTAAAGGTTAAAAGCCCCTCCTGCCAAAAGCACCTACCTCTTCACTGTGCGGAGCAGGGTGGAACGAGCCTCGTTGTGAAAGGTGATGATGATGCTGGTTGCTGGCAAGTCTGCATCATAGTGTACTGAGGCACATCTGTAATGTGGGAGAGTAAAGCGAGTTAAACTAGATGCAATGGACAACAGCAGGTTGAGGGAAATGCCTGACATTTCCAAGGAGAAAACAACTGAGTGCAACAGAGCTCTTGCTGCTCTGAACTTCAGCCTCCAGCAGGGAGGGCGAAGAGCTGCTGAGAGCAATGGAGTTAAGAAGCATACTATAATAAAAGTGCATTAGCAGCTACACAGAAAAAGTGGTCCAAGGCACTAAAGTCTGACTCCACAATACTGGGAGTGAGAGACGACTAATTGTCCAAACAGGGGGCTGAGACCCAAGACTTTTGGACCACATTTCTGGATTTGCCACTGACTTGTAGGTGCCAACAAAAGTGACAATTTTTCACCTGATCTGGCCTCTAACGGTGCCACAAGTGCAAAACTGCAGAGCACTTTAAAGAGCCTGATCCCACCACAATCTGAACCCCCATACGAGGGTTCAGATGAAGGCACTCCAAAGTTAACTTCATAAACTTCTGTCTGCACATGCCAGGCACTCCTTCATTAACTTCTGTCTGCACATGCCAGAAACAGGGCTTAGCTGACACAGCCCAGCACAGCTCCTGGTACCGTTTGCAGAATGGGAGAGGGGGAAGGGAGTAGAAGAAACTTGTTCTGGGGGTTGCCTAGCTGGTGCTGGATGGTGGGGTGGGTGGATTAGAGCCCCCTACCCCCCACCCCAAGGTGGGGGCTCCAAACCACTCCCCCCACTCCCCAACTCCAGCATAGCTGGGGAAACTCCACAATGGACCTTCTTCCTCTGCTTTCTCCCCATCCCATCCTGAGACAGAATGGGATCAGGGAGATGAGGGGCAGAACTTGGGGAAGAGGCTGCAGAGATGCAGTCTCTTTTCCTGGATGGGCTCCAAATTGGAGCTCCATCTTCCATCCTCCTGACACAACAGCTAACATGTTGGGTCAGGAGGATCAGTCTAACTCATGGTACTTTCTGAGAAGTGCTATGAGTTAGACCTGGAAGCTGCACTTCTGTCTGTGCCTTGTGTGATCTTAATGTGTCATTTAAGGAGTGGATAAATGAGAAATCTACCTCAGGGCAAAAAGAAGGCAAGATTTTAGTGCATGTCAACTGCATGTCACAAGGTAAGAGCATGGCCATGGGGAGTTATCATAGCACAGCTGATACATGGTAAGGCTCTGACCCCTTTCATCTCATAATAAATCATCTGCATGTCCATATCCTTAAACTCAATTTTCTCAAGTGTAAAACAAGGATAATGTATACCTGCTACTGAGCAGAGTGGGGAGGTATCATTGATCTATGTCTATAAAACATTTGGGCTTGTCTATACCACATTAGCAGCAGATCTCATGGAGGATAGGACTAAGCATATACTTCCTCTGCCCTCAAGTTCACTGGAATTTTGAGTGAGGCTGCTCTGATCTTGTCCCCATTGGCTCCTCTCAGACTTGCTGGCAGCCACAAGCTCAAGAAAGGGACAAGGTTAAAGCAGCCTTGCTAGGGAGCTTTCAGCCCTGGAGAATGTCAGCAGACTCAAGTGGGTGGGCAGAGGTGCTGAGTATGTGGGGGGTCTGTAGCATGAACTGAACTAATGTGGCTGATGTTAACATAGAGTGTAATACTAGTGAAACGTAACCATGTTGGCAACTTGAAAACTCCATTTTGTATCCTTCTGCTTGACATAAGTGAATGAACTTTGCCTAGCCTGTATGTATGAGTGTGTGTAAAAGGGTGAATGGTGAGAGAATGGCGTAGAGACGGGAGAAGAAGATTCAATTGTTTATATAAGCAACAAGGCGCCAAATGTAAGTTACCAACCAGTAACTAACTAACAAACACCTGAAGAATCCCTTTGAAGCTCGAAGGCACAAAAGAGATAACAGAAGAAGAAATTCTGCCAGACAGGCAACAAAAACACTCCAAGGCTAAGATAAGCTGAAGACAAAAGAAGAACAACTGCAAAAACAGAAGCGGGGTATGGAAAAACCCCAAAGCACTGAAACAGAGGATGCCAATCCCTATAAAAAAAACCACTTTGAAAATGCCAGGTTGGGTGAGTTTCTTTCTCTACTGCTGTTTCATCGGAGCATAGATGCATCTGTTCACCCCGCTCCAGCTGTTATCTTTAAATCTGCTATCTTCAAATCATCATCATCTACTCAATAAGCCCAGGTTGGCCACCCTGAGCTGATATTGAGCAACTATTGCTGGTAACTATATCTGGTGTATGTGTGGATGAAATTGTTGTTTTGTGTATGTGTATGCCTGTGTGTAATGATGTGTATGATGATTTTTGTGTGTTTGTATGAACGGTGTGCCTGAACCTCTATGTCTAACTCATGTAATGAATAAACGCAGCACCTTGCCTTATCCCCCTTTATAAAGTCTCGCTCGTGATTTGAGCAATTCGCAATTTGTGTAACAAGTCAGCAACTTTGGAGCAGGTTGTGGGTAAGGTGTGCTCAGTCCTGTCCTCTTGAAGACCCACCACTGATTCAGTATAGACAGGCCCTTGGAGGCCAGCCTCTGCAGAAGGAAAAGCAGCTACCATCATTGCATTTGCCCCATGCGCAGGGGTTTCTTTTTCAAACAGTAAAATCTCTGCTGGCAATGGAAAGTGATTTCTGCCCCCCTCATCCCTGGGAAAATACCAACATCAAGATGATTAGTGAGACTACAGTGTCACCAGATGGGAGGTTGTTCAAGAAGAAGAATGTGCTTCACTACCAGCCAGCATGAAAGCACTGAGGAGATGAGTTAGGCTCCTTTAAATGAAAAATGCCCTCTCACCTGACTTGACTGAAATGTCAGATGTCCATTTGTGCTTGCACTCAAAGTCAAGAGTTAGCCTGGAGTAAACTTTTGCCAGGGTTCCTTATATCCCCAGTGAGCAAGGGTTGTTAAAAGGGAGGAGGAGTCATTCCCATAACTCTGCCAGTCTATTTTTCTCCTGTGTCTCATCAAGTCTGTTTTGCAGGTAACCACTGAACTCAATGCACTCTGTCCCAAGATTCCAATTTGGAGTCTGGATGTGGAATGTGTGGTTACCAAAAAAACAAAGAGCTGAGACAAGAAAGGAGTGAGGCTGGAACAGCCTAAGTTGGATGAGAGCAGCACTGCTCATTGAAAAATCAGTAATGCAAGAATCTAAATAGACTCTTTCAATCTGGGAGAAAAGTGTTTATCAAAGCCTTGAGGATCCTTCCCAATGTCCCTCCCTATGAAAACTGTTAGACAGCAAGGACCATCTTTCCAAAGGCCTATAGTCCAGAGGAATCTCCATGGAGTGAAATGAAAGCTACTAGGGCTGTGCGAAACTTCAGATGCTGATTTGATTCAGAGAAGATTCAGCCCAGTTTGGTGGCTGAATCTCTGAATTGAATCAGGAGACAAATAAAAAGGTCTGAATTGATTTGAAGCTCTCTGAATCGATTTGGAAAGGATTCAGAAAGCTTCTGAGATTTGGGCAGTCCCCGCTCGCTGCCGCAGGGAGCTGGTCCCCGACTCTGTGCTGCTAAGTAGGAGGCAGGGAAGGGGGGGCTGGAGGAGGGGATAGGGAACAATAGGGGGATTCCCACCAGGCCCCAGACCCTTGAGCACCCCCAACCCCTGCCCACTCTCCCAGCCCCTCTCATGGCTGTCCCGCCTGGCCCCAGCTCCCGGCTCTTTAAAAAAAACCCACAAAAGCCCAAACTCACCGGCTCCTGCCAGGCAGGGGAGTGATTCCCACTGCCCTGCACTGCATGGGGGGCTGTCATGAGCCCCCAGCTCCCCCCGCCAATTGGCTCCCCAGCCCAGCTCCAGGCTCTTTGAAAAAAAGAAGAAAAAAAAAGCCCCCACTCACCAATTGCTGCAGCGGCCATCAGGCCTTCTGGGGCCTTGTGACAGAGCTTTCCACATTGCGCAGGGCAGTGGAAGGCAGAGGAAACTGGCCCCCGCCTGGCAGAAACTGGTGAGTTCGAGGCTTTTTTT